AGTTGAATATGTAATAGGAATGTTTCTCTCATAACAGAATTAATAGCTGAAATCCTGTTAGTGTAATAAGTCATACTAGAGGAGGACCATTGCATCAGTGGAGCTTTCGTGAGTCGAGTTCTTCATAAGTTCCACTAATACAAATGCGCCTCCTCTAGTTGCAATTTACTATATTTAAATAAGTAACAACTAGAAGAGTCCATTAGAATCAATGGAACCTACAGTGCTGACTTGCCAAATCCCCACCGATTCAGTGAGCCACGTCAAGTGCAACTTACTTCACTAAGCAACAGAATTTCTACTAGTGAGAATTAGTCCCTAATTTGTTCGAAAGAGCTGAGGTTAATAATGAATTCTGACTACAAAAATGTGAGGTATAAAAATGCAATGCTAGTGATACATTGTTGACTGTGGAATGCCCTCCCTTGGGAGGCTAGATTGGCCTGCTCTGTTTGTCCTTCCAGCAGCAGGCAAAGACCAGCTTTCCCAGACAAACTTGTAAAAACTAACTGGGCAGTTTTTGATTTTGTGTGCCTGATGCTATTATCATTTTATGTGTGTTTTAGATAAGTTTTTTTGACAGTTTTAAGTGTTTTAATACTGCTGTATGTTTAATAGTATAATTTGATTGTGGCTTTAGTCAGTTTGGGTTTTTTAAATAATTTCTGAGTGCTTGGGGCCTCTTAATTGTGAGAAAGGCAGCACAGAAATGAGAATTAACAAACAAATAAATACAATGCAATTATTCTCATAAAGATTAATCAAGGGACATTAAAATGACCAATGTGCAAGGCTTTTTATGGCACAGAGGGGCCTGTAGCAGAATGCTCATTTGGATGGCCTAGCTGCGCCTTCCTTCTTACAATGCATTTTGTCTGTATCATTTTCCCTCATTGGTTTTTTTAAAAACTCACTATGCATATAATAGTGGAGTTTTTTAAAGCTGAGTTTCAATTCTGAATGTTCAGTTTTGATATGAGGTACTAGTTCCCCTGTATTCGGCACTATTTAGGCCTCATATTGAGTATTGTGTCCAGTTCTGGACACCAGACTTCAAGAAGGATGCTGAGAAATTGGAACAAGTTCGGAGGAGGCCGACAAGGATGATCAGGGGCTTGGAAACCAAGCCTTATGAGGAAAGATCGAAAGAACTGGGCATGTTTAGCCTTGATAAAAGAAGATTATGGGGGGATACAATAACAAATACTTTTAAAATGTCATACTGAGGAGGAGCAGGATCTGTTCTCAGTCATTCCAGAGTGCAGGACACGCAACAGTTGGCTCAAGTTACAGGAAGCCAGATTTTGGCTGAATATCAGGAAAAACCTGTTAACTGTTACAGCAGTACAACAATGGAATCAATTACGTCGAGAGGTGGTGAGAGCTCCAACACTGGAGGCATTCAAGGGAAATTTAGACGACCACCAGCAGATAGCCCTTGATTTTTATATTCCTTCATTGAGCAGGGGTTTGGACTTGATGGCGTTATAGGCCCCTTCCAACTCATTGTTCTGTGATTCTATGATGACTATAGGATAATATGTATAATGATGGATTATGTCTGTAATATTTTATTTATTTATTAACTTAACTTAACTTAACTTAACTTAACTTAACTTAACTTAACTTAACTTAACTTATATGCCGCCCACACTACCTGAAGGTCTCTGGGCGGCTTACAGCATTTTAAATGTTATCTCATTTTTCCTGTACTTTTCTTGCCTTTTTTCCTGATTTTTCTTCTGTTGCCATCAGTAAAGTTTATTGTATGATTTTTACCATTAGACATGGAGCTCAAGCTAGTGGGATTCTAAGTGGAAAGAGCTGGCAGCAATGCAACAGTGCCATTATAGATCTGCCCTCCTCTGTGTATGAGGCCACCACCATTAGTAACAACCAGGGCAACTGTGTCTTGTGCTCACTCCAAAAGGCTCTGCAAATGTGATTCAGTTTAAGCAATACACAGTGATACACAACAGATCAAAATGGAACCCAAAAAACTATCCTTATGTCATACATAAACTCATGGTGTCTGAGCAGACAAGGATTGCCTGAGGAAAGGATTTTAGGATTGCAAAGGATGGCTCAAAGGAAAATAACAACCTAGTGAGTTGTTGCTGAAAGAATGGTCACATTTAAGAGGAATTTAAAATTATATTGCCAACGTCGTAATCTGATAGTGTGTAGTTCTGGACATTGCTCCTATTGCAGACTTAGATCAAGAGACTGGAGCAGCTCTTCCATGGAGACAGGTCAAGTTTAGGGCTCTAAAAGCATATTAAGAAGGCAAGGAGGGAAATCTGAAAGAAGCACATAAATTTATGCAGTTGAAAGAAAATAAGGCGAGGGTTTTTCCCCCTCTTGTAATAGTAGAACTCAGGGTTATCATAGACGGTAAGATTTGGAGCTGGATTATTGTGCAACAACACTTTGCATGAAGAACTGTTGACCTGGGTGTTTCCACTCTTGTGGTGTCTTGTTTTTCTCTTTGATGCACTCTTGTGCTCTTAGGGATGAGCATAGTTCCTTTCCAGTGTTCTAGCATAGAGTTGGCATAGCACACTAAGTAGAGAGTTCAGTGGGTGTAAACTGTAACTACACATTGAGCTAGTTGCCTGTCTGCCTAGTAGTCAATCCAGTGGTAAGGTAAATCTTGGCAGGTCTTCACTCCCACAAACTGTATATCTGATTATTTGGAGGAGGGTCCCCATGAAATTCACAGTTCAGGTGACCAGACCCTACAGATCACTGGTGTGCCACATGGTACCCTCCCCTGCATGGCTTTTCCGGTATTCGCCAAAGTAGAAAATAGACACCAGTATCCAACCACACATTGTTACTTTGAACTCGGGGGGGGGGGGAGAAAGAAGTGTGCATAGTTTGAGAGTGTGTTCACTATAAATAATACAAGAATTCCCATTTATGCTTTGAATATACCTTACACATAGGTGTTAGTAAGACAGCCTGAGACACTGAAATGGAGGGAAAGCGAAGTCAGAAACAAAGATTTGAAAGAGTATAGTCTACTGTACTGTGTTCTGCAGGGTTGTTATGAGCCAAACTGTGTAATATCAGCTTTAAGCCCTCTTGTTGCGTGCATTCCTAGGTCTGAAAGCTAAAGAGTGTCTTCCAAAGAGTTTTCATTTCCACAGTCAATGCCAGCTGATAACATAGAGAGTGAATGGCTGGATTATGTTTCGTCTACCGTATAGGAAGATTGGAAATCAGCCTGCTTCCTTCCTCTGATTGTTGAGAGCTCTGAGTCATGTTGTGTTGTTAAGCAGTTCCTCCCCACTTCCGCAAGACCTTACATGTTCCTGGACAAAACACTTCCAATTAAAACATTATCTGTCCTGTTATTTCTGGCTTAAGAAGATATAGTATTTGTGAGAGTTTTGTGTGTATGTGAGTGTTACCAGTCTTTTCCCATTCAAGTCTCCTAGAACCATGCATGAAGCAGCACCACAAAACCCACACAAGCCAGTCAGTGTTTGAAGCACATGGCATTTCACTTCCACCATTTAGCAAAGTCACACCCTGGTAATCAAAATTAACTAGAGCATTACAGAAATTTGGGTGGATGGGGTGGTAGTCACGATAGTTTATTTTAACAAAAAAGAATAAAGAGGTTTGTGGCACCTTAAAAATTAGCTAGTTTAATCTGCCATACGTTTTCGTATAGTTTGCACAAGTGTTCATTGTTATCTTATTATAATACAACTTCATTGTACATTAATTATTATGAAAAGGGATTGATTAGAAGTAAAAAGTCAAGATAACTATTTTTCCCCTAAGCGCTGCTCTTGGGGAAAATGTTCATATATAATGTTCATATAGTATGAGAAATTTGGAAAAGTCCACCCCCACCCCACCCTCACATTTCTTTCTAGGGCTGGTGCTGCCATGCGGTGGGTGAACCAAAACTGAAGCATAATGGGATAAATGAGAGCAAGAATTGGTATCTGAATGGTAGAGCAAGACTTTTTAAAATGTTAGCCTTAGGATCTCGTGGTGGTCATCATTTGGGTTCAACTTTAAGAAGTAAGTTGTCTCTTGATTGTCCAGAGATTTGCTGTTAAAGATACTTGCAAATGAAGATTAGGTTTTGGTGGGTGAACCAAAACTGAAGCACAATGGGATAAATGAGAGCAAGAATTGGTATCTGAATGGTAGAGCAAGACTTTTTAAAATGTTAGCCTTAGGATCTCGTGGTGGTCATCATTTGGGTTCAACTTTAAGAAGTAAGTTGTCTCTTGATTGTCCAGAGATTTGCTGTTAAAGATACTTGCAAATGAAGATTAGGTTTATTGCAGAGGTTTTTTTATATTGTTGAGCTTCATTTGCTACATTGGGGGTCATAAGAGTGATCATGACTTTGAATGTAGCAGATCTAAGCAATGCTATTGTTTTGCCATCAAAATAATTTCCCAGGTTCATAATGTTGAGCCTGTTCAGTATTTCATCACATCATCCACATGGATAAACTGTTAAGAAATGTCAGTGGAAGAAGGAAATGAAAAGGAGGTAATGGAAAAAGAGAGTACTGATGAGTTTCAGTTCATACCTATTAGTAGCTTTTCTTTATTCCTTTGTTTACAACATCATTGTTATGGGTTACGTGTGAAAAACCATTCTGCTCTATTGTAGTCTAATTGTACAATTTAGTTCTGAATTTGTGATGTCATAGTTTTCAGCGCATGGACACAGTTCAGAGTATAAAAATTTGTAAATGATATTTAAAACGAGTGGAAATATAAACGTTTCTATGAAAAGGTCAAGAAAAGAAGATAAATATGTATGCATACCTCTAAGCATAGCTGTGCAAATATCGCCTGAAAACATAAACATTGCAACTTCAGTTTATTCCAACACTGACTAGTTATTAATAATTGTTATGTTAAATTGGAAAAAATATATTCGTTCAGTTAGTCTGTAATTTTTTTTAAAGAATAAAGTATTTTATAAATGATTTTTTAAAACATGTAACAATCTTGTTTTAGGTATGTCAGCGGCAAAGTTGTTGTTTGAATCTGGACTTAGTGTTGTGGTTTTAGAGGCTCGTGACAGAGTTGGGGGACGGACTCACACAATTAGGGTAAGTAGTGTTCGAAGAAACCATTCTCATATTTTCTACTAATATTGTGGGATGTGACATTCTGAAAAAGAGTGCTAATTCTTGAAAATGTTGTACATAATCATACGGAATGCAGGCAATTCTTTTGAGAGTAGAGATACGAATTAGGCTTACTTCTGAGGTGTTTCATTTGTTAATGAGACATAAGTATATTCTCAATATTCTATCACAAATATCTCTTGGCTTTTGTTACTTCTACAGTTTTCCCTCCCCCCTCTTTCGACAGAACAAGCAAGTGAACTATGTAGATGTTGGTGGATCGTATGTTGGACCTACTCAGAATCGAATTCTGCGACTGGCTAAAGAACTTGACATAGAAACATACAAAGTGAACGTTGATGAGCCTGCCATCCTGCATAAAGAAGTAAACAAAAATACTTTTATTTATCTAGCTCTGCTAACCCTGTATGTAGAAATGCATTTGCTGGTGGATTATGAGGTGAAGGGTCTAAATCTTAAGCATGGTTTCTCCGTTCATTTGTCATCAGCTGAGTAGAGTTTCCAGGGTCTTAGCTATCTTAGTCTTTTGAAGCAAAGAAGAACCAAGAGTCTTGTGAAACTTTAAGGATTACAGATTAAGAAGTTTTATTTAGAATAAACTATTGTGAATCTGCTGGAGTCCACCAAAACCTTATACCGCAATAAGACTAGTTCAACTTTAAAGTGTCACAGGGCTTTGTTTTTGTTTTGAGTGAAGTGTTTCTGCTTTATTCCTCAGTTGTTTCTCTAAAACTCAGCTTGCTAGGGCAGTGCAATGAACAGTGAAGAATGTCTGAATGAAAGAAGCTATTTCAGGGCTTAGTGTAATCACGAAAAATTATAGATTCAAAGAAGAATGAGTGTTGTTCCTCCTTCAAAGCAACCCTCTGCTCTCAGTGCTTCACTTTGTTGACTCAATGATAATGGCCAGAATCCAAATGAATATTTACACCACCATATTTGCAGTGGTGCAACCTGGAGCAGTGAATAGCTGCTAATTGATGAGTGCTAAATTAAATCCTTAATTGCACACCAGTTGTGAGACTTGACAGGTGACTAGGAAACTCAACCAGAAACTCCTTGCTCTGAGTTACACCACTGCATTTACACCGATGTAAAAAAATCTATTGGATTCTTGCTGTTGCATCTTTATTTAAAAAACTAAACAGCAAACATATTATTCTTCCAATGGAAATTGCTGAAGGGAGGGGAGGATCTAACACTTTATTCATAGACAGGAGGATCAATTTGTGTTTAGAGTTTTTAATTTGAAATATTCTATGTGTAGCCTCCATACTCTTCTTTTGCCTCAAATTGCCACTTTGTTTATCTTTAGCAGTAAATGAACTGTAGTATCTGTTGGTACAAACTTCATAAATAATAGAAAGAGGAGATTGTGAAGTTCCATAGAGGGCCAGTGCTGTTTCACTTTTATAGTTATTGTAAGTAGTTGCAACTCAGATTTTCTGTTCCTTAGCTGGTGGTCCTCAAACACACTTCTCTAAACACAAGACCTAAATTGTTATTGTCTGTCTCTGTGATTGCATATACAGCTGCTCATTACTACTGGGTGATCTGATCAGAAGTTAGAGAGCTTCAGATAGGTACGCTGGCACAGAGTCTAAGAAAATTAAGAATGGCTAGAATGGAATTGGAAGGAACTGCGGCAACTGATGCACTTTGTGATTGGTGAGGTAGAAGGGACAGCAGCCAGTTGTGGGCATTACTACAGGTATGAGGCAGAACTAGGGGCATTTGTTTATATCAGCATACAGATACACAGGGTCATACATTCAGAGATACATACAGGCAGGTAAGCATTCAACCAAGGCATATTCTTCATTTGGTGTCTCAACTGAGGAGCAGAAAAATAGTTTCAGCCCAATTAGAAATGTTCCTACCTGCTCCTGTATTCTCTTCACCCTCCCTTTCCCACACCCACTCGCACAGAGTGTAGGATCAGAGGTTCTGTAGGAGAGGAACAAGGGAGGGGCCTTAACCTTAGTCTTCTTTGAGGAGTCAGACTGGAATGGACTGGCAGAGGGTTAGGATTAGGGCTCCAGCCATGACCTGGGACACTGCCCTAGATGCAATAATGGATCAACCTTCACTGGCCAAAGGAGATTTCAGCCAAGTGCTTAATTTAAGCCAGTCATGACTGACAGGCCAGAAAGTGTGATCTCCAGCCAAATTTCAGCCGTAGAAGCACCGTTTTATTAAAAAGTAGAAAGGTGAATACTGAGGGCCTTCTCTTTACTTGTCACTTCAGTGTTTCTCAGTTAGGTAAATCTTGCTCTCAAAAATTTTAAAACTAAGATTGAAATTCTCTGTATCCTGCACTGTGAGTTCTTTGAAAAATAGTGGAGCTTTCTTCTGAATAAATATGTATGGGATTGTTGTAGTAGGTTTTTCGGGCTGTTTGGTCGTGTTCCGAAGGTTGTTCTTCCTAACTTTTTGTCAGTCTCTGTGGCCGGCATCTTCAGAGGACAGGAGTCAGAACTCTGTCTGTGCTCTGGTGCAGTTTTGTGGGATAGTTGAGTATTTATAACTGTGGGATCAGCTTTTGTCCTTTTCAGGAGATTGTGTGGTTATGTGTTCAGCACGTTTTTTGTTGTGGGTGTATTGTTGTGATAAGGGGGAGAGATGATCTGTCACTGTGATTGATGGGTGTTGTTAGCTGGTCTTTTGTATGCAGTGACCACTGGTCCTTGTGGCTGGGTAGAGTTCGTTGACGCTGTATTTTTCATTGCTGGGAGGCAGGCTTTCTTCAGTTTTAGACTTCCTTATTTTTTGTTGAAGCTCTGGTGGTGTTTGTGGATTTCAGTGGCTTCCCTGTGCAGTCTGACATAATGATTGCTGGTGTTGTCCAGTACTTCTGTGTATAGGATTGTTTTGTAAATCTCCTTTCAGGCCTTGTTGGCTCAGACTCATAGATAAAGCTAAGCATGTTGAAAACTTTGTGACATTTCAGAAGATTAAAAAAGAGGTTTCAAAATGAACAATAATGGACGTCTTAGCCAAAAATATATGTCAAAAGAAATAATTGTTACCATGTTGGCTTGGCTTACGTGTTCATTCCCCTCCAAAGCTTGAGGCTATAATTCTAAACTAGTTGTGACTGGTTTAAAAAGAAGTATTTAGTTAAGTTTCTTCATATGTATACAAATCACCTAGAAGTACAATATCTTTTTTACTGTTGAGGAGAAATAGCTGCCCTGAATTATGATTACTTTTCTTGTGCTTATATGGATATATGTTACTCCTTTTCCAAAAGGTAATTTTAAGCCAGCAGTGTATTGTGGGATATATCAAATTTGGTTGTAATAATTGAATAAAGAATGCTTCTATATAAATAGCTGTTCTGTCTTGCCCCCTGTAATGGTTTTTGGTGGTGAAATAAAACATAAAACAATTTAAAGGGGCAAATGACTATATTTGGGCCCTCTGTAAAATTGTGTGAAGGAGAGCTGTAAAATAAAAAAAATGTGTCTGGAAGTATCCCAGTTTTCTCATGTTTCTGTTAATACTTTTGCTTCATCCAGTTGGATTAATAGCTTTTAAAAACTAAACAGAATGACTTTGAGTTAAAACCTTCCCTTATGAAGCCAAGTATAGGTGATACCCTAAATCTGCATACTGAAAAAATTAAACCAATATCTAGCTTTCAACCCAAATCAGTCTTCATCAGGCTGTGCACCAATGTATTTTTGGTAGCTATTGGTTGGATTTTCTCACACCTCAAACAAAGAAGTGCAATTACTCAGAATTTCCCTCTTCCATTGTCTTCTTTTGAAACACAAAGTTCCTATTTGGCCAAGTTAAAAAAAAAAAGTTACACAGAAACGTGGCAAGCCCCCATCAGAGAACTGAGAATAAAATTTAGTGTACCCACTAGGTGAAACCAACTGAAGCCAAATTAAAGCCAAGTTAATAGTATTACCTAGTGCTTGGATTCAGATGTTTTCTTGAGTTTCCAGTCCTGTTTGGTTGATGCTAAGTATCCATGTTGTCTTCTAGATGATTCTCTGGGTGGCTGTTCGAAAAGAAACAAAGCTGGTTCACAGCCTGATGAAAACTACTTAGGTCAAAAGCTAGATATTGGTTTAAATTTTTTTTAGTGGTCCAGTTAAAGTATTGCCTGTCCTTGCCTTTGTTTTGTAAAGGGACCACAGGTTGTTTGTTTTTTCTGTACTACGTAGTTCCTTGTAACTCTGAACACTAACATAGAAACATCGGTTTCAGTGAAATGTGACCCATCAAATATCATTGCCTAAAATCCTATTGCACGTTGTATATCAGCAGCTATGCAAGTAATAGAAGTCATCTTGCCAGCTATCTGTTGCATCCTCCAAAACCATCTAGTTCTGCAATGGGATATGCAACCAGATTCCTTTATTAGCAGCCAGCAAATTGCAAAAACGACACGGTTACATGTACCATATTGTATTTCTAAATGGAATTTTGGCCATTATGTAGCTTCCTTATTTATGTTACTAGCATGTTTGTTTAGCCACAGCACTATCTCAGCTGCTGCTACTGGCTTCTTTAAGCTGGCAGAGGTCCCAATTTGTTCTTCCTTTCCTGGAAAATAAACAGAACATAATTTTACTTGGTGAAACCCTAGCCTCTCTCACTTGACCCTGCCTCAATTTATACATATCAGCTCTTTTCTGTAGGGAAATTTAACAACAACAAAAATAACAACAAAAAAAGTCTCTAAGTAATTGGTTGTGTTTGCTTGGATGCTTGAATATCTTTTGCCTTGGCTTTTTGTGTCAATCTGGCCAGATAGCTCGGTGAGTTAGGTATCTGGCTGCAGAGCCAAAGTTTAGGAGTTCAGTTCCCTGCTGTACATCCCAGAAGAGCCAGTCTTTGTGGCTCTGGGCAAGCTGCAGAGTGCCAGGGTGCCCCCGGAAGAAGGGAAGGGTAAGTCACTTCTGAGTACTGCTTACTTAGATACCCTGAAAAGCACAAGTTAGAACTGATTTGACGGCACACAATTATTAGCTGGCTGGGTAAACTCAAGAGTTTAGCTATCTGGCTGTCAAGTTGGGAGCTGGATTACCCGCTCCTTCCCAGGGAAAGAGCAGGCCTGTGTAACCTGGGCAAGCTGCATAGTCCCAAGGGCCTCTGGAAGAAGGGAATGTAAACCACTCACTGCCTCAAAAACTCTGGAAAGGGTCACCATAAGTCAGAATCAACTATATAGCACACTGCTCTTCTTCTTCTTCTTCTTCTTCTTCTTCTTCTTCTTCTTCTTCTTCTTCTTCTTCTTCTTCTTCTTCTTCTCATCATCTATGCCAAAGACCAAATTGATGCATTCTTGCAAAAGAAGAGCTGTGAAAGCAGCCGAAGAGAAAATTAACATTGAAGGAATTTTTTACCTGCACTGCAGAAAGTCAGAAAATTAAGTTCCTGATAATGATTAACCTTTATATCTATGGCAGCTGAAGGATGAACATGCATTTTATTACTTTTTTCTGGTACCATGGAATGAATGTGTGGAGCTCTTGATGTGTCTGTCCATGTTTCATCTGTTTAAACTAAGAGTTTTGCCCTGCTTGCCACAGCTATCACAATGCTCTGACTGGCTAATACTAAACAACATTAAAATATAAGCAAATAATGATAAAGCACACAGTTAATTTCAGGAAATGAAAATAACATACTGCTCAGCTTTAAAACAGCACAAAAAGAGCTCATGGAGTCAAATAAAAAGGAACCCAGAGCAACAACAAAGTTAAAAGCTTATGGGGAAAGACAAGTTTTTTTCTAAATGTTGGAAAGTTGTGAACAGAATAGGAAGGCAAGCTGCTTTTCAATGGCTGCTGGAAAGGTTGCAAATACTAGGATTCATTCTAAACTGAGGAACTACAGAGCATGAATGCATATGAGAGCACATACAAAGAAGCATGCAAATTCTTGCTGGACTTTGCCTGCTGTAGCCGCCTACAAACTTTGCATGGTGTTTGACAGGCATATTTGTTTTTGTTTATTTATTTAAAACATTTCTACCCCACCTTTGTCTTTAAGGACCCAAGGTGGCATACATCGTTAAAGACAATATTTAAAGCAAAAAAAAAAAAAAATTAAGTGTACAAATACTAAAAAGCATCAAAGAAATGCCACAGTAAAAGACAGTAAACAGAAGCAACATTAAAACACATTCAAAATAGTAAGGGAGAACAATCTATTTAAATAAAAGGCCCACTCAGGCAACCAGTCACTAAGGGAAAGCTTGCCTGAAGAGAAAGGTCTTTGCTTTCTTGCGGAAGGAAAGCAAAGATGGGGCCAGTCTGGCCTCCTATGGGAGGCAGTTTCAGAATCTAGGAGCAGCAACAGAGTAGGACCTCTCCTGTGTCCCCATCAGAGGCACCTGTGAAAGTGGCAGGACCAAGAGAAAGTCCTCTCCTGATGATTTTAACACCTGAGCTGGCTCATAATGGGAGATACGGTCTTTGAGATAAGCCATTTTGCGCTGCATAGGTTAAAACCAGCACTTTGAATTGTTCCTGGATACAGATACAGATCAGCAGCCAGTGGGGCTGCCATAATAGGGTGATCTCTGTGACTGGCCCCAGTTAGCAATGTGGCTGCTGTATTTCTGCCAAAACAAGATCAGAAGCAGATTGTGGTACTTAATATCTAACATTAGACTTAAGCTGAAAAAGAACACTAGAAGAATCATCGTGCCAAAATATAATTTAAACAATATTCCTGATGAACTTTAGGGCCATATAAAGAACAGATTTTCATTACTAAACTCAGTTAACCATGAATCATAACTATGGATTAAAACCAAATACAGTGGACCCTTGACTTACAGACGGCTTGACTTACAGACTTCTTGAGTTACAGACTTCTCTGGCCGCAAAATTTAGGTTTGACTTGCAGCCTGAGAATTGACTTACAGACCAGAAAAAAACCAAAATGGAACAAAAACGGCCTGTTACGGGATTAATCGGTTTTCAATGCACTGTAGGTCAATGGAGACTTGACCTACAGACTTTTTGACTTGAGAACCGCCTTCCAATACGGAGTAAGTTCTCAAGTCAAGACCCCACTGTATGTCATTGTAGGAGAATGCAAAAAGACAATTCCAGTAGTAAAAAGAAAAACCTAGATGGATAATGGAAGAAACATTGTAAAGGACAGGCAAGAAGCAAAAGTACTGTAAAAGATCACAGAAATAGGGCCCGAACCCTCAATGCAGTTTTTCAGCAATTCAGGCAAATATGCATTTCATCCCCATTTCTGTTCAATCTATATGCACAACATATCATACAGAAACCTGGACTAGACTCAGATGAAGAAGGAGTGAAAATTGGTGGAGGAAACCTAAATATGCAGATGATACCATCTTACTCACAGAAAGCAGCAGCGACATAAAACAATTTTTGATGAAAGTGAAAGAAGTGCCAAAGCAGCACTGCAGTTGAACATTAAGAAGACAAAAATCATGAGTACAGAAGAACTACACAACTTTAACATTGACAATGAAGAAATTGAAAGTGTTAAAGGTTTTGCATACTTTGGTTCAATCATTAATACAACTGGAGACTGCATCCAAGAAATCAGAAGAAGACTGAGACTCAGAAGGTCAGCAAGGAAGGAATTAGAAAAAATCAAATGTAAGGATGTGTCACTGGAGACCAAGAGCAAGATGATCCTAAGGTCACCATGTATGAGTATGACAGCTGGAAAATGAAGAAAGTCTGCAGGGAAAAAAATCAATTTATTTGAAATATGATGCTACAGGAGAGCTTTGGATATACAATTGTGTCCTAGAGCAGAGGTCCTCAAACCCCGGTCCCCGGCCCAGTGTCAGTCCATGGCCTCAGCCTGACCGGGCTGTGGAGAGAACTTCCCCCGCACCCCCCCACACACTTCCCCCCACAGGCCTGTTTGCACCTGGATGCAAGCATGCACACACCCGCACGAGCACTGCGCCACCATTCACGCATGTGCACGAGCAGAGGAGGTGCCCCACCTTCCCCAGCCGGTCTGTGGGGCTAAAAAAAAAAAAAAGGAAATCAAATTTGAATTATCTCTGGAGGCAAAAAATGATGATACAGAGGCTTTTGTACTTTTGACACATCATGAGAAGGGAAGATTCACTGGTAAAAACAGTAATGCTGAGATTGGTTGGAGGCAGCAAGGAAAAGAAGAAGACCAAATATGAGGTGGATTGACTCCCTAAAGGAAGTTACAGGCTTTACAAGAGCTGAGCAGGGCTGTTGAGGACAGGACATTCCGGAGATGGCTCCTTCATAGAGTCACTGTAAGGCAGAAGTGACTTCACAGCACATAACAACAACAATCTGGTACTTTATACAGAAGACTTGGTTTACACACCGTACAGTTCATTTACTGGCTGGTGATCATTGGGTTTGTAGTCTAAGATATATGTAAAGTGCTTGGTTGGAGAATGTTGTTCTAAATGTGGCTAACAATTTGTTTTGATAAGCTTTGCTGCAGATCTGCTTTTGTTTTTCCTTCCCCACTTCACTTATTACACTCACCTTCTAAACAGCATTTACTGTTTGTCTAGGGAAAAAAAGAGAAAACTGTGCATTTATTACAGGTAAAGGATATTAAACTAGTGAAATACTCTAAAGTGCAATGATGTGACTGCAAAGTGCAGGCAGTGTGTCATGGGCAGAGAGTTCTTAATAAAACATTTTGAGTACCTCTGAGCATAGCGAGGACATTTTTCAGTACCACTGAAGAGCATCCTGAACTTTCATGCACCCACTAAAAATCCACACACATGATTAAAAGTGAAAATCCAAAGTTATCATGCAGAGAGAGAGATGCTTATGTCCCTTGAATCTGCATAGCTCTGCTTGTAAAATCTGAGTGGAAATTTCTTTAGATCCCTCTGCTCTCATTTTTCTGAGTGAAGGCTTTACTCTGACCCTCCTCAACACCTCTGTAAAGTCAGCTCCAGTTACCTCCCCCACACAGAAACCTTGCATTCTGTACCTGTCTCATTCTGTTCTGGCAATGTCCGGGTTTAGTGGCAGTTTCATGCACTAGCCTCCCCCACCATCCACTGCTGCTGCTGCCAGGATCCGTTTCCTGTCTCCTTCTGTGTGTGCCTCTAACTCTTCATTCGTCAAGTCCCAGCACCACCATGCCCTTCTTTCCAGCAGCAGCTCCTTTTCTGTTGGCAGCAGTGGCTTGAAGATGACCCCTTGCCTCTTTCTTGAGCTCCACAAACCTGATCCCCTTTTCTACCACTCAGATCAGCATAACAGATGAGATATTATTCAAGATATGAAAATTACCAGTTTTAGAAGCGGTAGCTGCTTTCGTCTGGGCAAGCATATCAGGTGAAAACAAAACAGAACAAAAATAAAAGAACAAATTAAAAAGACAAAAACATTTGGCACCTTAAAGACTGTTATATTTTAATGGGAGTGTCTGTGGATAAAATCCGCTTCCTCAGACATAAAAGAGAGAGAGAAAACATGGCAAATATTTAGACAGGGCATCAAAATACAGAGACAGTAATTGGTTGGTTAGAAAGTTGCAAAGTGTGTGAGTCAAAGTGGGATGGTGGCCTTTGATATTTAGATCTATTCCGTTGAAGCTTTGTACTGTAAAAGAGTGTGAGAATCCCTGACATAAAATAACAATAGGAGAACCTACATGATTGTTAACTATACTAAGGGCACAGGCTTTTTACTCCTGTTTGGTATTCAGTTCCTTTCTAGGAGGTTTTGTAGACAATGGTGGGTGCTAAACTAATTAGGGCCATGTTAATAGTAACCCTTACTGAGTTAAAAACGTAGTAGAATAGCCTAATCAATTAAAAATAATTAATTTATTTCAACCTATGGTTTAATAGCAAATGAGAGGAAGAATATCTCCTGGAAATGGCATTTTTGGAATATTGTGGGCATGCTGTTTGAGGATTCTTGAGAATTATAATTCCCAAAACTAGAACTAGACTTATCCTCCAAATGCTTTTTTGTGGGAGTGCATGTTATTTTGCTGATTACTTTTCAGATTTGTATATTGAACACAGCTATCATCACCACTATAACTGCACATAAATTTATTACTTATGGAGACTTACATAAATGCTAGAATTTAAAAAAATAATAATATTCATATACTTACATTTATTTCTGTTCTAGGGGAAATCCTATCCACTCTATGGTTTCTTTCCTTCAACATGGAATCCTTTTGTATACCTAGATTTTAACAATATTTGGAGAACAATGGATGAATTGGGAAAACAGGTATGGTGGAAACAGTGAAGGGATACCATGTACTTGTGTGAGCCATTGAATAGGTATTTGAGCACACAGCTACTACCAACATTCTCTCTAACTTGCGTGGGTGTGTAGGCACACAGTGCTGCATTGGGTGTGCACAGCCAAGCAAGTGTTAATGCCCATTTGTTTCTGGTTGCTGCTGGGGGCAAATCTCCCATGCAGGACTCCAGAAAATTAGGGAGAATGTTGTCTATCACCATTACACCAAGCAGTACACCCAGTGTTCTTTCTAAGGGGTCTCTGTGTGTGTGCACAGAGCTTCATTGGCACAGCGGCAACTGTTGTTGATCCCTGTTTACTTCCGGGTTTGCGATGAAACCCCTTCCCCCACATGCAGCCAGGCACAGCTGGGATGAAAATTAGAGGGAATGTTGAATACACACCTAGCAATTGCTCAAAGCATAACTTGTTAAATAGTTGCATTTTGAAAAGAAAATAAGCAAAATAACTGTCCTGTTCACAGGGATATTGCAATTATACATCAGAGAAAGACAGTAAACCATACAGTATATCAGAATAAAGGAAAAAAAGATAGGGAAGTTCTATTGCATTAGAAAATATCCAGAAACATACTGTACTTATCTTCAAATAACAATTTCCCTGTTCTGGCTCTGTTCTACCTACTGAATTTTACTCCATGCTAGTTTGTTCCTCATAAATGAAGAAGTAGATATAAATTTAGAATTGCCTTAATAGCAAAACAAACAAACAAACAAACAAAAAACACCACCACATGTAATTATGCCAGTGGAAGGGAAATGGCATAACATGCAGCAGCAAATTGTTCATTAATGAGTGCTCTCCCCGGGACTCCTCACTGTGTACCCCTAGTGAGGAATCCTAGCAGGGACTCATTAATTGACAGTAATTTGCTGCTATGAATTATGCTATTTCCTTTCCCCTGGCATAACTATACAAGACAACTTGGGCCAATATGTTCTATTTTCAGGATCAGATTGTGAAGTGATGCTGTTGTTTGGATGTCACCTTGCTTTGAACCGGCTCAGGTTTGACCTTGCTCAGTAAACAAGAACAGTGGACTGACCATACAACCTCTTTTATGGTTGTTGTGGGTTTTTCAGGCTCTTTGGCCGTGTCCTGAAGGTTGTTCTTCCTAACGTTTCGCCAGTCTCTGTGGCCATCCGGCATCTTTCAGAGGACAGGAGTCAGAACATGGCCAAAGACCTCGAAAAACCCATAATAACCATTAGATCCTGGCCATGAAAGCCTTCACAATACAACCTCTTTTGTATTTCTCTATAGATTCCTGCTGAAGCACCATGGGATGCACCATTTGCTGAAGAATTAGACAAAATGACCATGAAAGAGTTCATTAACAAACACTGCTGGACCAAGTAGGAGATTTTAACCCATATTGAAACCATTTTATTAATATTTATTTATCTATTTAGCTGCCTTGGGTTCTTTTTAAGGAGGAAGGCAGCATAAAAATATTTTAAATAAATAAATAAATTCGTTTGTTTTTCTGTCATGGCAAATAAAAGAGGGAATCATAAAAATTACTTGATTAGAAGCCAATGATTGAAATGCTTGGGAAAACAACCAGGTCTTCGGTTGCTTCCTAAAACTCAGGAGGGATGGCGCCAACTGCACCTGTAGTGGGAGGGAGATCCAGAGAGAAGTGGCCACCACAGAGAAGGCACAGTTCCATGTAGCTGATTTCTGGGCCTCCCTCAGGGTGGGCACGTGGAGCCTTCCCAATATGAGAGATGTGGGTGGGGCGGATAGATGTCTTGAGGGAGAGGCGCTCAGCCAGGTAACAAGGTCCTAAATCGTTAAGGGCATTGAAAGTTAACATGAGCTCCTTGAACTTGGCCCAGAAGCAAACAGGCAGCCAGTGTGACTGAGCCAAGATAGGAGTTATAAAGAGATGTTCCAAAGAGATGTTCCTGCTGCAGCTTCCAAATATTCTAATTTCTTAGCTTTCCCATATCATATAATAAACCCTGAATAGTTCTGTAGCACTAGAGAATGAATGGGCATTCACCATCAAACTAAAGAAATGTTCAACCCACTCTTCCAAGAAGTAATTCCTTTGACAATTCTTCTGTAGAAAGAAATATACTTTGAAGCAGAGGTGGTCCTACTGTTGGGCAGGTGGGGCACCAAACACTTTCAGTGCGCCTCCCAACCAGCAGGTATGTGGGTTTAAGACATATTTAGGACATGTGAGGGCCTAGGTTGTAAACTGGGGGTAGTTGACCCTGATTAGGATGACTTACCAGACCCAGTGGGCATAACTGCTGCTGATTAGGATGACTTTGCCCTACCAGACCCAGTGGGCATAACTGCTGCATAACTGCATAATAGCTGTAGCAAAATAAACTGAATCTCTCTTTGTGCTGTGTCTCCTTCTCAATTATATACAGAGCTGCTAGAGATTTCACTACTCTCTTTGTTAATGTCAATGTCACTTCTGAGCTGCATGAAGTCTCTGCTCTCTGGTTCTTGTGGTATGTGAAACTGTGTGGAGGAACATACAGGATCTTTTCTGTGACCAATGGAGGGCAGGTATGTGGAATTTTGTGTCTTTCCTTTAAGAATGTCTGTGGAATAAAGTGTGATATTATTAATTAATAAATAAATTAATTGATTAGATTTATATCCCGCCCATTTAGACTACGTCTACTCTGGGCGGCTTACAATAGAAATATCATAAAAGAATTAAAAACAACAATTTAAATCAGTAATATTAGTATCATTCAAGATGGATTAAAGTATAGACGAAAATTAAAATATAAAATTAAAAATCAAGTATTGACAGGAGGGAAGGCCTGCCTAAAGAGCCAGGTCTTAAGTTGGCTCTTAAAAAATTCTTCATGAATTTGAAATTCATGAAGAATTTAAAATACAGTGAAATTCCATTGCTTAGCACAGCAAGTCACACTACAGTAGGCCCCACACAGTTATGAATATTTGGAGTCAACTCCCTTGTAAGTTCCATTGATTCAAATCAGCCTATTTTAAGAGTATATTTTTTAATTAATGGAATTTACAGAGTTGACTTATCAAATCCCCATGGATTCAATGGGCCTAGTCTCATGCAATTTAGTATGCTAACCAACAGGATTTCTGCCTGTGTGCAAAGTCTGTGTAATTTTGCAGTTTTTGAATAACAACATAGAAATGTTGGAATCACATTTAGAATCCTGCAGAGTTAAATTAATATTATTTCCCCTCTCCTCTATTCACCCCATAATGTCTTCAGTATAGTTTTTGCTGTGTCCATTATAATGATGCAATTTAGTTTCCATGGCTACTAGTTAGTTACTTAACTTAAGCTTGTTATACACATGTATCTCAAGTTGAATACACATGCATCTGAAGTACTATTTATTGGATATCATAATCCCCAAGGTCTTTGTGAAGGTCCTTTGACTGCAGAACATTATTTTTCTTTCTCCTTTTTTTTTTTAAAAAATAACCTTTCTAATGGAAGTCAGGAAGAAATAGATACCATTGCAGAAAATAAATTATAGAAAGCAACACTCTACTGATGCTATGGAATGCCATTAACGAATCATACTTTGGAAGCATTATGCTTTCATTTTAGTCTTTGCCCATGTCTCTACAGCCTGACATTGTAGCAAAAGGTTTTATTGGATTAGTTGTAATTACAGTCAAATAAATAACCTTCAATGTTAGAAAAGCAATCTGCTTTCCTACAGATAGAATTCTGCCACTGGCCACACAGACTGGGAGACTCTGTGATCTGTAGTCTAAGCTAGTGACTTCCCAAGTTCAGATTGACATTCTGGTCCTAAGAAGCCAAGGGAACCAATGCCTCAGTCAGCAATGCAGAGGAAGACATGTGGCTTTGACATGACCCTCTCATTCAGGTGGAAGCTTCAGTCTTTTTATTCTTGAACATGAACTGAAGAATGTATTTTGAGGCTCTGGCAAGTCATGGCTTGACTGCAGTTTTAGTGAGCATGCCCTCCTCTTCAAGCAATGATTTTGATGGCAGCACTAAAAACTAGTTTTTAAAACAATTAGGCAAGAAACAGACATTAGAGATGGCCCATAGAGATGGCCAAATGCATTTTAATGTTGCAGAAAGGTGATTGGGACAGCCTTTCCATGTTTGTGAAATCAAACTTCAAAGGAGTCCCATGCTTAAATCTGGAGGACCCGTCATCAAAGAAAAGAAGCTAATCTGCATAGTCTTGAAAGGGAAAAGAGCTCAAATTGTGACTCTCAGATATGCACATTGGTCAGCAATTTCCATTTTCCAGTCACAGATCATCTCTAGTGTAGGTTTCTGGCCCTAGTTTATGTGATTTCCTAGCTAAAGAATAAAGAAAATGCAAAATTCATATTACTTGGGCATCCAAGAAAGTCACTTTTCCTGCTGTTTACATTTCTTTTGTTGTTAGTTTCAGTTTTGTCCCCCAATCTCTTCTTCCTCTTTGTTATGTCAATTACATTGTAAGCCTGCAAATTGTCTTGTTCTTTAATCGTTGTACTGTATCTTACCTTCTTTGCAAACAATAATATAGATTTTAGGAAACTGCTGGTTGTATGTGATCATTGATAAAAGCACAGCCAATGATTAGGAATTTGGTAACCACAAAAAAACCATGTACATACATAGTTAGTTTTCCCAGATTTTATAGATCACAGTTACTGTGCTGTTTCTGCTATGGAAAGAAAACTATGCCACTTCCTCTTACAGGGGGAGAGATTAAAATAAATCTCTGACCTGCTCTGCATTCTTTCATGAATGCACAAACCAATGAACATTTTCCTTGCCTGTGAAAAATTCCGTAGAAATTTCAGTAATCGTAGAATCATAGTGCAATGGAGTTGGAAGGGAGGTATAAGGCCATCAAGCCCAACCCTTTGCTCAATGCAGGAATCTGACTCACAGTGTACCTCAATGATTCCTGAACTTTGGTAACCCATGTGTTATTGGACTGAAATTCTCAGAAGCTATCACTACCAGCTCTGCTGGCCAGGGTTTCTGTGAATTTCAGTCCAAGAACACCTGGGTTACCCAAGGTTAGGAACCACTGTTATATCTGATGGATGGCTACCTTGCCTCCAGTTTTGGGAGTACTCATCACCTGCTGAGGTAAGTTGGTTCCATTTTTGTACTGCTGTAACAGTTGAGAGGTTTTTCCTGATATTCAGCTGAATTCTGACTTCCTGTAGCTTGACCCCATTATTACATGCCCTGCATTCTGGAATGACTGAGAACAGATCCTGCTCCTCAGTATGACATCTTAAAAGTATTTGTTATTGTATCTCCCCTCAATCTTCTTTTATCAAGGCTAAACATGCCCAGTTCTTTCAGTCTTTCTTTACAGGTCTTGGTTTCCAGTCATCCTTTTTACTCCCATCTAAACCTGTTCTAGTTTGTCTGCATCGTTCTTTAAGTGTGGGATCCAGAACTGGACACAGTATTCATGATGAGGCCTAGCTACTGCTAGATACCAGGGAACTAGTAGTGCATGTGATTTGGAGACTATCCTTCTGTTAATTAATGAAGCCTAACAGATTATTGACCCTTTTTTTTTTGCAGCCTTACTACACTGTTGGCTCATAATAAAAGTTCTTATTTGTTAAGCACCATCCTGATAGGAATAGATATTTCTCACTGTTTGTTTTTAATTTTTCTAGCTGTCTTATTTGACTTCAGTTTTTTCCCTTTATTCATTTTACAAATAAATCAAATATCTACAGAAATAACAATTCACCCAGAATAGTTAGGTAGTGCTAAACATTAGTGTCATTTATTCAGATCATTAGAAACAGTTTCTAAGCTGTAGGCAAAATGAAATCTGAGCACAAAAGATTCTTGCCTTCTTTTTTAAGCTTCAGAATACCAGAGGTATGTGTGTACGTGTATTTCTCCCCTTCAATACAGGGTATACAAGGAGGTGGGGTGAATGGAAGGGAAAGCCCTGTACTGGTACAGATACCATTTCATGACTTTTTTGGTTTCTGTATAGGTTAGGTGTGCGTACAAGTGAAAAGCTGACAAGAGGAGGGAAAGGTTTAAAGCATAATCTCCTGTATGTGATGGTTCTGATCAAACTGGGACACTGAATGCATATGTGAGAGTGAAAAAGTAGGTGATCCAAAACAACAAAGTATGTAGATGTTAGCCCTCAGGCTAAATATGGGCTCTGGTAGAACACTTGTGCATTGCTAAAGTTCACAATTATGTTGTTGTTGTTTCTTATGCTCCCAGGAGAGAAAATTTGTTGGGGGTTCTGGACAGATAACAGAAAAGATCATGGAGCGACTCAAAGGAAACGTTAAACTGGAGAGTCCTGTATTTTGCATTGATCAATCAGGTGATAACGTCGTTGTGGAGACACTGAACCATGAGATATATAAGGTAATTCAGTCAGAATAAAAATCATGTGTATTTATTAATAGAGGGCATATCTAGTAGACCTCTTAGCCCAGTGTAATTGGCCTGCCCTTGTACAGTATAGTCTTTGAAATTTATGTTATTGAGTCATTTATGAGACCTTATCCTCAAAGATTATGGTAATGTAGGCGGCTTCTGACATTTGATTATTTTCTCTGTACTTTGTTTCCTTTTGTCAGTATATCTCTGGTCAACTACTGCACGGCTCATTGCTTTTGTCTTGCACCAATGTGCCTGTCGAATTAATTGAATTGCTAAGTGTACATAGTTAGAAAGTTTGTATCCCAACCATGTATTGTTGTTGTTTAGTTGTTTAGTCATGTCCGACTCTTCAAAAAGCTCAGTCCCAGAATATGAGCCATTAGCCACTATGAGAACTGTTCTGGAATTTGTATCCCAAAGGAGAGACACATATGACCTCATCTTTGCTTGAGGACTGAGGGGCGTGGGTTTAAAGTTCTGAATCATTCTTATTTCCATCTGTATTTAACTTAATTGTACAGGACTTGAAAAAATCCTGAACTGCTGATATTTTATTCTATTTTAACATGAATTGTATTTTATATGGTCTGAGTCTTGTAAAAGAAATGGGTCCTGAAAAGTGAATTTAAATGTTTTAGATATATAATTAAAATGATGTCTCAGATGTTTCCTTATATTTTGTAGTGCAAGTTTGTGATCTGTGCCATTCCGCCAATCCTAACCACAAAAATCCATTTCAAACCAGAACTGCCAACAAAAAGAAACCAGTTAATCCAGCGCCTTCCAATGGGCTCTGTTATTAAAACCATGATGTACTACAAAGAACCTTTTTGGAAAAGAATGGGTGAGTATGAATCAATTACAGCACAATTAAAGTTTCTGAACTAATTTGAGTCAAACTTTTCATTGCACAAAACTTCTCCTGCAAAGGAGAATTGAAATGGGGCAAGCCTGGCAGAGTTCCCCAACCCTTTCCTCAATGGCAAAACCCAGAACTAGTGATGAAACTGCCAGTTTGGGTTTGGTGGGTCACGTCCTCTTGCCCATGTGAGTATGCACAATCACCGAGCTTAATGTGTTTTCTTTGTTCAGCTCTTATTAAATCACAGCCTTAATGTTACACTGCCTCAATCGTTTTGAACTCCTAATGCAACCATTGTGCATGGCAGTGGGAAATGGCAATACATATCAATACATTGCTTGGTGCAGACATTTTCATCATAAAAAACTGAAAAATAATAACGTGTGTTCCTTTAGATAGTTAGATAGGCTGAAATATACAGAATGCTTGGGAACTGGGAAGAATATTGAAGGTATATGCATATGTATATCATTATCTGAGATAATTGCATTCAGTATTTCTGATTATGATCCTGTTTTCTTTTTTCCTGCTAGGATACTGTGGAGCCATGTTGATTCTGGATGATGAGGCTCCAGTTTCAGTAACTTTAGATGATACGAAACCTGATGGGTCCATACCTGCTATTATGGGGTAATAATATATATATATTAAAATGTTAATTTGTAAAATCAGCTACATAAACAGATAGATCAGATTAGACTTGTGGAGTTATGGAACATATCCTAGGTCAGTTATTCTCAGCCAGTGGTACATATACCACCAGCAGGATGCAGATTAGTTGATAGTACAATGGGTAGAATATAAAGACACAAAAGACTGAGAGTCACCATCTTATGTAAAATGAAATAACACTACAGAGAAATATTTCTGCTATCCTACTAATTCTTTCCTGCCCCTAAATTTATTATACATGAAGTAATTATCTGTTTACACGTGTTGCTGGACGTATAGGGTACACCATTACTAGGTACTACTTGGTTTCTTGAAGGGAGTTCTGCTGAATTGTTGTACTTACACTCCCAGCCCTACATAATCATCCTCACCCTTATAATGACTTACTGCCATAAACCCTGAAAGTTGTCCATATAAAACCTGCTTAAATGTACATTCATATACACCTAAACTGTTCCAGAATGGAGGCTTATATCATTTATTCTATAGCAAGTGGTATGTAGACAGATATTGTGTTCAGATTTTCAAGGAAGAAGACATGTTAGCCTGTTTCAGCATAATAAAAGAAAGTTTCAAGGGTGCTTTCAGTTAAAAAATTGTATTTTAGCACCAGCTTTTGTGGAGTACAGATCATTTTATGAGATACTAATCCATTGTTTAATATTGTGAGAGAGATTCTTATAGCGAGTAGGTATTGAATAAGAAAAGTAGTGAAACATACATCAACATATAGTAAGGTAGCACACATATAGAAACAAGATTCCTCATGCCAAATGTAATGAACTTTAGCTGACTTTGACTCCTAGAAATACGATAAGGCCTACATGACCTCCAAACACATTGGAATGTTACAAGATGTTACAGGGGGAGTGTGAAAATCAAGGCTAACATGTCTAGCTTCCCTCAGCAGCTCATATACCCGTCTGTTCTTCCATGTGGGGACTGAAGAGACTGAAACTTTTGTTTCATCCTTGATTAGCCACAGTTTCCTATGTATCTGAACCATAAATTGGTTAATATTAATTATGGCTTGTTGAATCAAGCCAACTCCAAAGGTTGTGCTCTGTAGTTCACTTGTTTCAAACAAACCATTTTCAAGACTAACCACTGTTTCTTGGGTTCCTGTGACATGTCACACTGTAGCTGATCAAACACAGAATGAAAAGCTCCCAGATCCCTTCTTGTAGCTATTCAGGTGAAAATATGGGAGAAAGTCTGTGTAAGGTTGCTGGGAGTGGGGGGGGGGACGACGAGGTTATTCTCAAGGCATGAAACCACGGCCTCCAGTAAATATACAACAATGGGCTATCAGAGAGTGGAGATATGATTTCAGACAGAGTAGTGCAAAAAGTTAAAGAGTATATACAGTCCCTTTCCTTCCACCTGATTAGAATGATATCCTGTGGTTGTTTGTTTTTACAACAAAGAAAGAAAGAAAGAAAAAGAGGTGTCAGGAGTTCCACTGTGAAATGAGTGAAAGTATGTAAAATCAAGAATTCATTTCTTTTTCCTCTTTAAAATAGTTGTCTGTGTAGAACTGAACTGTACATAGCTTTTTAAAAATAATTACTTAAGCACAAATATTTTGGTTAGCGATCGATCAATAAATATTGATATTGATACTGACATATTAATTATGTTTTGGTGGTTTTTTTCCCCATTTAGCTTTATTCTTACAAGAAGGGCATTTAGATTAGCAGAGCTTAGCAAAGAGGAGAGGTAAGAAGACATGACTTTTAAATATCTAGTTTAAAAATTTATGTTTTTTAAATTATGTAAAACTAACTAATAATAATGTTTACTAATATGTTTTTAAGTAAATTACAGTATTGTAATGTATGCAGTCAGACCTCTGTGGATGACTGTAATACATACAACAACTAATTACTTTTATCCAATCTTATTTTTTCCCTTAATATTAATATCACTATATTTTATTCCACCTTTCTTCCAAGAAGTTTCAAGCAAAGTTTTAAACCTGCAGCCTTTTCATACTTGGTGGCATGTTTAAGCCATTCATTCTTACATAAGTTGAAACTAATCTTTGATTTTATGAACTTGTTACATTTATATGGAATGGTTTGTTTTATATTGTGGACCAGTATTTGCCTTGTACTGCACTTTTGTACTGTGTTATGCTAAAAGCTGAAAATCTAATGACAGATTTGGATCCTATCTTTTCCTTCTATCTTTTCCTTCTTCATGTAGGAAGAAAAAGATAAGTGAACTGTATGCAAAAGTATTGGGATCAACAGAAGCATTACAGGTAAGGAAGAACACCATCTAACATCTGTGAAGCATTATATACATAGTTCTGATTTAATCACTATGTGAATAACTGGCCATTTTAATTTACTTATATCAAATTTTTTTGAAAAAATTGAAAAGATAATTTATGACACTTATTTTTACCTCTCAGTTTGAATGAATTCCTTCAAACCCTCAAATGCTTTTTCCTGTGATTCAGATGTCTAAATTTACACCACCAAATGCTTTTTCATGTGTGTCAGGTTTGCAGAAGGTAAAGAGGATAGATAGAGTACTAATAGAAAATCTTTAAGTGGATAAAACTGAAACTTCAAACAATATAATTTGAGATTGTGATGCAGGATCTGCTTATGCTGTCTGCTGTGGGAATAATTTTGTACCTACTTTGCCCTGTACTGATCAAAAAATGATTAGCTTTGAAGACCAGAGTGAAGGCTATTTTAGATTATTTTTTTAAAATTGGATTTATAGCTTGCCTTTCCCCCCAAAACCAGGATTTGCAGTAGCTCACTATAATTCTGAATAAAAGGTACAGTTAAAGTACAGAGGAAGATGAACGCTACACTATAGATTTAAATTTCAGCTGCAAAAAATATGGTTTGAAAGTATATCACAAAAAAAGTACAG